AAACAGCAGGTATGTGTTGTATTATCAAAGAATTACTGCAGCCTCTGTAATACCAGTTCTGTAAATACATCAATACTAACCCAGAAAAGAAAAGGATGTTCAGAGTTTCTTTTAACCATTTTCAGAAAACTGATGCTCTTGCACAGGTTTGAAATATTTGCATCATATTCTGATGAATTTGCAGTACACCTTAAGCCTTTCTGAAAAAAAAAAATGAAAGAATTCTGAATATCTTAGTGCAGCAATTAAGTCATCTTTACCAGTACACTTAAAATAAAGTGTCCATTAAATAATGCTAAACTAATGCTGAATTAGAGTGGAACTCTTCCAGAAGTCCGTATCACATCTATATGAACTTTAAATGAATTTCTTATTCATTCGATTCTATTGTATTAGTGTTATTGCAATGAATACGAAATGAATTCCTAATGATTGGATACTTAAAATAAAGTGTTATCCCTTTACAATAGTCATCAAACTTTAAGGACAAATTGAGATTTAAAAAAAATTATGTACTGATGGGAAAAAAAGGTTGAACTGTATAGTTCATAATATTGAAAGGTATAATTTATCTGATGATGCTAAAACTCAGATGCAGTCTTATATTAGAATTAATACTACAGGAGTGGACCCTTATACAGAGGATTTGTTGCAGAAATAAAATCTATCAGTAACAGTTTCATTGTTCCATCATTACGAACTCACTTGGTATTCACTGTAATAGCACTGATCGTAATGAATTTGTTTGATATTCATGTGGCTCTCACATGCATTAACATAGGCTTTCTGTTGTAATTCAACATCCAACAAGCATTAGTTAATGCAGAGTTTGGATTAGGCATTGGCCAGTATTCTGCAACTGGAGTTTCCTTTCAGTTTATAAGCAGTTAAAGGATATTTTTATCTGTCTAATTCCTGGGTCTCTCTCTCTCTTTTTTTTTTTTTTTCCTGATACATTATTTTTAATCTGGAAAGCCGCCTGAAAGATCCCACACTGCTTTTCCACATGAACATAGGTGTGTGCCATCTTCTATCTCAGGCAACAAGCCAGAGAGCCAGAATTTTATCACCCAGGCACATTACCTCATTATCCCCTTGGCAATAGTGGCTTTGGCACAGCCTGGAGCTGGCAAGGTACTGAGGGAGCAAGAAATCCTGACTCCTACTATTAAATGGATTTTTTTTTTTTTTTTTTTTGTGCTTTAGGTTCAGAAATGTCAATACTTCCTTAGTATTGGATAATATTTATTTGGCCAAATGAACTCCTGCCCTTGCAGTATCTTCCTCAGAGAAAAACAACTCTGTGGCAAAAAGCAGGGCAAATCTTTGGAAAGTTTTCATAAAGGAGGGAACTCCGCCAGGTTTTCAGCAGGTTTGACTCACTGGAAATTTTTTGGGCATTCCTCAGGCAGATCTTGGCTAATGCAGGCTCTGGTGTGATTCAGCCCCAGCCAGGGTGTTAGACTCTGTTTCCCCATTGTGCCTCATGGTAATTATTCCTATTATATCTTCAAGAGATTATAGATGAGCGATAGATGAACTGCAATGACTATTAACAAGAATTATAGCAATCTTTATGCATAAGTGTTCAAAACACCAGGGGCCACACGCTCAGGTAATACACATGGATTTAGATCATGTAATCAATTCGATTGCAGTAATTGGTAACATGAAATTACAGAGTCAGGTGACCTGCTGCTGCTATCAGCACCGCTGCTGCAACCCAAAGTGCTTTCAAAATACTGTCCCCATTTTGTTTCAGGATCTCACAAAGGAGGCTTTCCCTTGGTTTTCTTGATTGCTTACACAACAAATCTCTTCCTCCCACACAACCTCACTTTTTCCCACCCTTCTCCTCACAACAGCCTCCAACTAAAAGGCTGGATCTCAGCCCTCCTTGGCACACGGGGCTCCTTTTCCTCTCCTTGGGGCTTTGGGGGTGTTTGGAGACTGGGAATGCTCCAGATAGACCCACTGGCTCCCAGAAACCCGACAGGAGAATGGAATACACTTCTCAAAAATATCCTGTAAGGCTGACCTTGGGAATCAGGGAAGGTCATGTCCCCACCTGCTCTCCTTTAGAAGCAGGGGTGGATCTGCAGCAGGCTCCTTGCCCCACTCTTGTTTTTGGCAGGGCATCAGCAAAGCCCGCTGCTGTCCAACCCAGAGGTGGAGCAGATGTTTGGGATGGCTGTGCCAGATGCCCAAAGTGGGCAGGCTCAGTAGAACTGAAAGTGGGAGTGCAATTAGGAAAATGAGTGCACGAAGTACAGCAAGGGGTGGGTTTGGGGGCTCAGTGCCTGGCAGCAGGGCACGGCCCGCTCTGGCCGTGCGAGGGTGGAGGCACAGGAGGAGAAGCAGCCCTTCACCAGGTGGGAAAGACCAGAAAATAAGGAAGGGCTGCCCTGAGGGAGTTGTTGGAGGAGGTCTCCAGCCTCGTTATTTCAGAAGCAGAGCCCCAACGATGGACTGCTCTGACCAGTAATGGCTGTGAGGGGACCTCTGTCCCTGCTATTTAGCTTCCTTTTTGACTTGCAGACGGGGCAGAATTTGTCAGAGCTCTTGGAGGCCCTGATAGATGTAAACTCTGTTTAATTAATTTGATTTATGATATAATTGCACCACTGTGCTTGAGGGTTTAAGGGAATTCCATTTCCAATGTATCTTCCTAAAAGGGATTTCAGGTAAAACTTTGTCAGGGGAGGCAGTGCTGCCCTGGCCAGTGCAAGAGATGTGTCTGCAAACGATACACCACCCTGCAAACCACCCATCTAGCTGCAGACTCATTCACTGTTTGAGCAAATGTATTTAGGTGCATAAATGTATTTAGGTGCATTTTCCTTTTCAGCCTACAAATGTTGTTTTACACAGACAAATTTGAGGCTCAGCTGCACGAGAAAATGCACATGTTTGGGGTATTTTTTGTACCAAGGATGTGTTTAGGAAAGAGAGCTGTCTCACAGGACTATGGAAAACATGTATTTTTCTATTCTTTCTTTTTATTTGCCTCACTGAAAAATTATCTTGTTTAGTTCTTTCTTAGCTAAGACTAAGGGACATGACTTTTTCCCTGAGCTCCTAAAGAAAACATTTTCTGGCTTTTTAATATAAAATATGCTTATAAATAGCTGATATATGTGAATTAATGCCTTGTGGTATAGAAACACAGAGAAAGGTTGTAAGTAACGAGCTCCTTTGTACAATGTTTCATGACCAAGCACAAAGTTTGGCTGCATTTAATGGAAAAAATGGTGGGGAGTGTTCCCTGGCCACTGCAGGATACCTGTGATAATGTACTTGCATCACTTCACAGTTAAACTAAAGCAAACGTATGTCATTGCAGCGTGTGCCGTAACACCTGGGCACAATAGAATGAATTCATGGACTGTGCACCCATAAATCTTCATTTCCTAGTTTTGTGGGTTTGTCAGGCCTTTAAAGTTATTTAACACGCTTTTTGCAATGATAGATAGGTACTGAGAGTGTTATAAATACTAACTTGTGTCTGAAAGTTAGGCTGTGAAGCTATCACCCAGGCTTATGGTGGCTGTGATTTTATATCCAGCTAACAAGTCACTGTCACGGGTTGGGACATCATCTGGAGTCTGTGAATGTGTAAGAACCAACAGTTACTGTTAGATGCTGTTGGATTCATATATACAACATTTCTTTTAGGGGAAAAAAAAAGGCAGAAAAAGAGTGTTCCTTGCTTTAGTTTTAAAAAATAAAGACCATAGACCTTACTGGTGTCTGGCCTATCAGGAGTTTGTAATGAAAATGAATGATCATTTTTTTCTTTAAAAGTGTCTCAAGCTAAATGATACTGACGCTTTCAATTTTTAACATCATAATCAATAAAGGCTGCTTATGCACACTTTGCAAAACCATCAGTTTAGAAGTTTGAAAAAAAAAAATCTGCATATGGCTGCAGCTTGCTGACTGCAAAGCTCTAGCACTAAATCTTCTGAGTTAAAGTTTTACTGGTGTGTTATGAGTAAAAATGCCTTGTCAGCCATCTGCCAGTTTTTCTCCTAACATCCATATTTTCAACCCTTGCTAAACATTGGGAGCATTTGGCCACAAGAGGCCAGCTCTACAATTAAACAGCCGAGTTCTGCAGCAGAAGCAAGGGCATGTCAAAATAGAACTGTCTGTTATTAATTTTAAAAGTCCATAAAGGAAAGCTATGACCCTGTCAGGGTGATGGACTGGTAGTTAAATGTATTATAAACTGTTAACTCTCAGAGACACAAAAGAAAAGGAAAAGAAAAACAATGCAGCAGTGTCAAAAGCTTCAATAAATGCTAATCATGGCAGATTAATCAGCCTCTAATTCCACTGATCCAAAAAGGTTAGAGTGTCAATTGTGTAAAATTAGCTCTTTCTCATGTGTCCCTTTGCATTTGGAGAATCTGTCTGTTCATTTGCATCTTTTGCCAATGTTTACGAAGAATTCAGTTCATTAGCTCTTAAACATAAAATCAGACACTGGAAGGGGGATTCATTGCCTTTTTCTGCTTAAAGTAGTACTTAAAGCAAATAGCATTGCTACAGTGTACATTTATAGATTCTATCAAGCAGCATTAATTACTGTATATCTCATATCCAGAAACCTTCTTTTCATAGGAAAGGTTTCATGTGAAGTGTTCTATTTAGTCTTTTAAGGAGGGCTTTTTTGATGGCTTAAGATAAAATGTTTAATCATAAGCTTGAAATGAGACAAACGGCAAACTGGAGCTGCTAGACCTTAGTAAAGTACATGCTACAAAGGGCTCCCAGAAGTGTGTGCACTATCTGCTTGGGGAAATACCTGCTTTAACCTGCGTTTGAAAATCCTGCAGCTTGCCAAAGAGAATGGCAGTTCAAATGAACGACTGTGCAGAACACAGGAAAGCCTGAGGAAGGATTGCCTAATGGCAAATAAAGCAGGAGATGAGAAGATGTATTAGCTGGTGCTGTTTGAAGTGCTCTAACTGAACTCGGGACCAGACAGGACTCACCTGCTTTCCTTACAGAGCCAGCGTCCAGACAGGATTCATTCATCACCTGGTGCTGTTTGACTGCTGGGCTGAGTTTGGAGGACTCACACTGCCGTGACTCAGGTTACTTGGGGAGTGCCTCAGAGCTGAGAAGGGCAAGAATAAATATACATGAAACCTTTACCAGCCATGGCTTCCACTGATAGGGAAATGTGTATGGTCAGCTGAGGGGAACCTCAAAAGAATAAATCTATACATGTGGAACACATCTATACATGTGGAATGTATGTATAGATGTGCTCTCCTAATGTTTGGTTTGCCTGCACTGCCTCCATTGGGATGAAATTCATTCCTGATTTCTCATTCCCCTGCAGAAAAAAAATTATATTTCTTATCCACACCAATTCTGTTAAATCATGTGATTTAACAGAAATCTAGGAATTTCCCACCCCTTTGCTTCCCTGGATTCACACTCACATTCAGTTCTCTGCCAGAACCCTACCTAAAATCCATTTTCCCAGACATAGGAGTGTGGAGGAGAATCTATTCATCTCCCAGCTGTCCACCTTTTTGGGCTGGCCTCCCTGGGTGGGTCAGGGCTTCATTCTCAAGAAAGGTCTCCATGTCACCTATACAAAGAAGAGAAGAAGCAAAAGAAGCTACTTCTACCACCTGCCCACAGGAAAGGGTCCCTGACTGCAAAATCCCACAGCAACTGTGGATCAACACCAATCTGCATTGCCTTTGGCTTGGCCCTCACTGACATAAACACATAGCAGTGTAAGCATTTATTACTGAAAAGTTTCAACACTAAACAGTCCTTCAACAGATGGGAGAAGAGGATGAGAACAAACAGGAGTCACATGTTTGCACTGTTTCTCCATGAACTACTGAGTGGAGCTGAGCTGCCCAGGATGGGGCACGTGGCACGTGGAGCACCTCTCATGCCTTGAAGAGCACTGCTTTGTTAACCTCTCAAAAAGCTTGGCAGGGCTTTCAGGGCTCAGCCCATTCTCTGGATTGTGGCAAGTCTTGGGGCACTAAATTCTGTAGAGAAATAGGGTAAAATACCTGTATAAAGGATCACATCAACATGGGCAGGCTTCCATTAAATACCCCCGTTTGTTTAAGGATAATTTGGATGTCTGTATGCCATGCATCAGTACACTATTTAAGTGTGGGTGTTGGTCCAAGGCTCTTTACTGGGGATTCATATGTTTGCTTCCTGTTGGTTCCAAGTTAAAATCCCACATATTTTCAAGAAACTCTGTTGATTTGAGGTAAGTTTTATTTTTGGACACACTCAGTCCAGAAAATTAAAACTTAGTGAGAAAGACCTTTTCTGGAAGAGAAAATATAGTTAGATATGTTCCCTAAAAGAAGAAAAACACTGCATGGCTCTAATTTTAAAAAAAAAAATGACGCATGAGGAATCTAGTTTAAAATATGAAAATATAATATTAGGTTTAAGAGGTAATTATGAGACAGTAAAATAGAAAACCACAAAAAATAATTTAAAGGGAATGTAAACTATATATGGCACAGTGCAATGGATGGACTGTCAGCAGTATTTCTTTGTGTGTGTATCTTTTGTATTGCAGTGAACTGTGCAACAGCAAGATTTGAATATTCTGAATCTGCCATCTCCCTCTTCTGTCAATCAGATCCTTCCAATTTTGAACATGCCAGAATGAACTATGTTGACTTCTTTGGCACAAGAAAGTGAATCCAGTGAAATTCATATATTCAATGGTTTCATGAAAATGAGAAAAGTCTGTCTATTTGCTAGAACAGCTTTGGGCTAGTTTTGAATGGCTGCATTTCATCTCTGCATTTTCCCTCCCCACAACTGTTATGATGTGAAAAGTGCCCAAGGCCAGGGGCTTGTAGGCCCAAGTCCACTGAAATTAACTGTAATTGGGAAAAAAGGCCTTTTGCCTAAGCCAGTCATATTATACTTTCCCACCTGACCACTTCTTTTCCATTGATGGATATAGTTTACTCTACCAAATCATTTCTTTTTTTTGTAAGTGAAGCTAATTTAATGCCACCCAAAAATATATCAGACAGCTTCTGGCACCTATTCCTGTCTCAGAAGCGTTCTAAATGCTCAGGTATACATAAAGTTCTGCAGCATACAATTGCTCTTGCTTCTGCAAAGTTTCTGCTTTAATAATAGCAAGAGACAAGTTTAAACCCTTCTCTTTTGGATAGAATAGAGTGGATGTTTTCCTACTGCAGCTGTGCCACCTCCTCCTCGTCCTGCACCTCGGTGTGACTGTGTGCAGGTTGAAGAGGGCAGGAGACTCCTGCAATTCCAACCATTTCCCTTGCATTCTGCCATCTGATGCTGTCATGAGACTAACAAAACAAAGGTGGAAGTACCACTGCACAGCTACGTGTTCACACTCTAAATTTAAGCTTACCAAAAGTTTTCTGATGGCTGGATTGACAGAGCTGGTATTTGTCCTGGTAAGAACCAAAAAGGCTCATCTCCATTTTTAAGGAGTCCTAATGCTGAGCTCAGATTTGCTGAGCTAAATGCTAAATTACCCCAACTAAATGCAGTCTTGCAGATACTTCATCCTTCCCAAAGCAGATTATCCTGGAAACAGTAAAGCTTTGATTTGATAAACCTAGAGTTAGGAGAAACTTTTTGAACCGTTGTGGTTGAGGTCAACAATAAAACTTGAAATTCCAGATTTGGTCACTGATTCTTTTTTCCTTTGTCAAGGAGATTTTTAAAGTCTTAAGACTTTATAAGAATTCAGATTTAAGTGGTGTCAAGTCCAGTCTATATCTCCAAAACATACCTGGGTGCTGCAGGAAGTGGGGAGAGTGATTCAAGACATCTCATGTTTCTTTTATGGGCCAATATGACCAAGCATGGTATGAAGGGAGGAACTTTATTGCTAATGGAATAAGCCTTCAGATAAGATGTAAACCAGAGTTCCTGGCTGTTTTCTCTGTGCAGAAGCCTTCTGGACACTTTCCAGCTCTTCTCTGCCTACCTACGCTTCCAACTGCCTAACATAGTGTTTATTTCCTGCTCAGAACTGTATAGTAGCCTTCTTATTCACTATTAAAAGAGCAGCTGCATGTTAGTGGTGGGTGAAGAGAGCTTCTACCTCTCAAAGGCTGTTATTAGACTTAGTTAATTAAATTTGTAAACACAATTTAAGCCCTCTTTTAAGAGACAGAGATGCAGGGGAAAAGGATGAAGCAAACAACCTGAGTGACAGACACCGGAAACATTTTGTTCAAACATGCATGGGTTCTGCCCTCCTTTGCTGTGTGCCTTGAGCATCTGCATTCATGGTACAAAGTGGCCGAGAATCCTTATTAAAATGGTTGCATTTTTGCCCAGTTTGCATTGGGCAAGAATGGATCAAGGTGAGGATATGCACCATCAGACCCCTGTCATGGGCAGTGGCTCTCACTCTGCCCTTTGCAGCAGGAAAACACCCAGTCCAAGGCAACTGCAACCACCTCCTCTTCCCTCTCCAGCAAACATTCAAGCAGATTGACATCTGAGAGAGGCTCAGACCTAAATCTGTATGCAGATATTGTTCCTGGACCCTATTTCTCAACCAAACCTTGCCTGGATGTCTCAGATTCTATTCCAAATTTGGCAGTTAGGCACACTCTCGTTTAAATTAGAGGCTTAATCTTAGATTTCCCATGTTTCTCTCTCCTATCTACTGCAAAATACTGCAATAAGAGAAGAAAAACTCCCAGAAACCCTTCCCTTTGCACCGACAAGAAACAGCAAATCATAAGCAGGTTCTCTGAATACTCAAGTATATGATTATATATTTCACTGTCAACTAAAACCCCAGGAATAGGAAAATATGACTGTGAAAATACTGCCTTTAATGAGAAGACTTCGTTGTCACATTTGCTAAGATATAATTTATCTTTTATCTGGTATTAGTGAATAATATCACTTTGCCGTTCACTGTAGTGTGTTTACCTTAGAAATCTACACAAACTTTCCTTAATATTAAATCCTGGTTAAAGAAAGCTATCCTTTCTGGATGTCATATGCTTCCAATAATATATGGAATCTCCTCTCAGTTCCACTGGCTTTTCTTTCCTGAAATCTGCAGAATTCTCAGAAAAATATCTCTACCTGATTCCGTCCCAAGGAAGCTATGTTGACTTATGCCAGCAAAAGAACTCAGTTCATCTGTTTTCTCTTGTTCCATTACCTTCCCACCTTTCTGAAAAGGCTATTTCTTTGTCTGGGTTATTTGTCCCCCAGCCAGAAGGTGCTGCCTTATAAAGGGGGTGGTGTTTGTACATCAAACTCAGTGCTGGATGATTTCTTTCTTTGTCTGCAGCCATAACATCCTCTTGTTCACACAGAAATAAAAAACCACAAAGGGTATGGATTATGCCATGCATTTCCTGCAGAATTTAATAATCACAGTAAAACACTGGCATATATTGCTGTCTGCTTACAAATCTGTGTTTTCTGTAGGAATTACAGCTTACTATTTAAGTCACCTGAACAACCTGCTTTATACATCTGAACAACATAATAAACCAACTCGTCCTGACGAGATGAATATCCTCTAGTGAACTTAACACATGTGGTCCAGATTCTGCTCTGTTTCACTAATGCCAGTCTCAAATACATCCCTATTTACAAATGGAATCAAATTGGGCGATTCTCCTAAATTCACTAAACCTGGACGTTCACAAACACCCTCACTCACAGTGAGCCATGCTTGGTTTTGTTTCGGGGACAATCTTTCCCCGTTCACCATCAGCAGGGTGACTCACCTTTCCCAAGTAAACACACCTTCACACCCTCCCATCTACAGCCAGAAAATGTCACTGCAGTAATTGTTTTCCTGGGAAAGGAGCATTCCCATGTATTTCTAACTGTCTCCCAGTGCAGTTTAGCAGCTGGAAGAAAGATACAGAGCCAGAGGAAGGGTTTATCCTCTGTTACTGCACTTCATGTCTTTTTCCACTAACTCTGAGTGGGAAAATGGCACTCCCATGAATGCTGAGTTATCCACTTATAACTGGAACATGCAGTGCAGTGTTCTGCACAGCAGGCTCTGATCCTTGTCCTTGGCCTATGATTTATTTAAACAGGAATAATTTCATATTCAACACTTTAAGAACCATGGACAACTGGAAGCTGACAATTACTAGACAAACCTGTTTTGGGTAAGTACTGGTTAAGTCTCAGTTCCTGTCAGCTGGGGAGGATGTTTGAGTTACCTGATTGGAAAATAAAGGCATTCGAAAAAAATGGTACTTTTCCTTTCCTCTGTTTCTTTTAGAAACAAAACAAAACAAGGAAACCTGACCATTTGACAATCTACAGATTTCTTTTTATAAAACAAATAATAAAAATGAAGCTTTTTAGCTTTGTGAAGATGATTACCAAGAAACTCCAACAATGCTGAGCAGTTATGTACTCATTGAAAACCTGCATTCCTATTATAAAGCTCTTCCCACAGAAGCCTTTAAATTAAAATTATTTTTGAAGTCTAGCCTAGAACATCAAAAACAACTCAGAGTTGAAGTGCACAGTATGATTCCCATTGGGAAAAGGGACTCATTTACAGATGCTGAGTGATTTTTCTGACAGTAGAAAAGACATTTATTTTC